TTTCGTTTCGTAAGTGAGTCCCACCGGCCCACCCTGTAAATACGAAACGAGATCTAAACATCTTACTCCCACCCGCCCTCCCTGTAGCATACAAGCGAGATCTAAACATCTTCCTGTCGTAGCAGACGCGCAGACGCTATGCACGTTGCTAGAAACCAATCGTAATCGAATCTCTGAGTGAAGGCGAGCAGAAAAAAGGCTTATTTTTCTGGAATCTATTCACTTGGTATTTGTCCATTTCGGCATACTCGTTCAAAATTGGATGCGGCTTGTGTGCCCTGTTATTTGCTCCAGCAAGTGTGGCGATCTCTTGAGATTCTACAAGGTATACCGGCTGTTAGCATTACTCTAAGGAAGCGGCTTGTTCCTTTTTGAGAAAAGGTACAAGGGTTATTAGAAGCTTAGCATAGCAAATTTTCTCGAAAACTGGAGAGGCCAGATGAATTTCCCCTTTGCGAAAGGTTCCTTTCCCCGGCCTGACAATATTTCATTTCGCTTATAAAATTTCAGGTCCTCACTGTGGGCCAGTTATCGGGCTTCCCACTCCTCGAACTTGACAGTGCTTCAGCGCTGTTGCCCATAATTCATGGTTGTCGCCCTCTCAAGTAGCGGAAAGCAACTTGTCTCCCTGAGAGGGTGTGGGTCTTGCAGGGCTAAGTTTCATGTCGTGCGGTCTCCGAGGATCCAGATTATTCTGGAGATTGTTTCGATAAGTCTTCACAGTCCAAGAGAGCTAAAACTTGGATGGAGGGTCATTCCATTCAGCGGAATTTTACAACGCTGCCAAATTCAGCCACAGAGCAGCATTTATATTATAGATGTCGGTTACTGCTTATCTAACTCAGCAGAGCGAACCGCTTTCATATAAAAATCCGCTTTGGGATAGGTGAGAGTCAAGGGTTAGATTTTCCTATGAGTTGGAAGGATATTGGTAAGCTTCCTGATGTGTAGGCGTCTCAATCTCTCAGTTTGAGTTGGGCAAGTTGCTCAGTCAGGCATTGGATGAGAGCAGAAAGACATACTAGATTCAACCACCATTTAGATTGTTACACGTATCCAAATGATCACGTGCGGATACGTCCTGGTTCAAGATCTGTCGAGGCCTCACAGCTTGTTTTCCTGTGCCCGGGGATCGCATACCCTCCGACTGGAAGAATACTGTCAATTCGCGGAGGAGCATGGGCACTTTTGATTCCCAAGATGGAATATCTTTGAAATAATCGAGCTCATCGCCATTCATCGCTCGTACAAGTGACAAAGGTTCTTATGGTACTCGGGGATGGATACGAGGTACCAGGTAACTTTCACTAGATCAGTAGAGGAACCAATTATGAATTAGTGACTGCCCAAATATTGCTTGTCGCTCCATATAACGGGACAGCGCATTATCGTTTTAGAACATTCGCATGAGGCAATCTACAACGGATTTGATACAGCGCGGGGTCGTTCTTCTCGAGACAATCACCTCAGGATCTCATTCAGTGAGGGGACATTCAGCTTTGGTTTTCAGAGATAGCTTACAACTCGTCCTTGCTATAATGCGCTTAGACCACGGACATGTCCAAATATGGGGGGACCGGACGTCATAGTAACCGCGATTTCGGACGAACGATGTGATGGCATGCGATTCGGACAACATGAGGAGTGGAGATGTAAGCGGCGACGGCGTTTATAATGGCACTTCTCTGGTACACTCAGAAGCAAAAAAAAAAAAAAAAAAAAAAACACTCGTCTGATTGATCACGTTTTAAGGTGACTTCGGGATTATCCGGTCTATGTATGTTCTATATGCGCTCTGGGCTACTGTGGCTCTTCGATTTCTTATACTCAGAACGGTCATCATTGTCTCATTCGTTGTATTCAAGTGCGCCTTATTTTAAGCAATGTAATTTTTAAGTTTTCGGCCCTCAGTAAGGTTGTTGTCGTCACAACGTTGTTATTGGCATTATCCGTTGTCACGAAAATTGTCATATAGTATAGATAGAGACATGGTAATTATGCAAAGTTAGTACTTACATGTGATATGTATCAAGTTTTGTAACGGTCAGCCGTGGACCGCATTGCGACACGAACTTACACGATAAAGCCTTATACACACCGAAAGGTTGGTTGCGTGATGACAAAACGTAAGTTTCGTCGTAGAGTATCGGAGACGAATATCCACTTTGCCTAATGCCTCCGGGGGATGTAGCAGAGACGTAACGCAATTGCAGCCACTACGCTTGCACGCTCGCTGCGGTTCCTCTTTTTCTCTCCAATTCTGTTTTGTGTTTTGTCAAAAATGATTCGAAGAGAGGCGAGTCACACATACGAGGTGAAGAGTTTTACCATCAAGCGTACTTGCAATATAAGCGGCAGCATGGTGAGTGGAGCAAACGACGTTGCTTTACCATTCGCGAACGGTTTATGGGGGTAAATTTCGATGCAAACTTTGCCGGAGTTGGGCGGGGGGGGGAGCACGTGGTGTCTGTGCGCGCTGTTGTTCAGTTCTCCCGGGTGACTGCATTTCGATGCTGCTCGATGTGGCAATAGTAACAGCCCCTGTGGTTAGGTCTCAGAGTCAGACAAGTAGAGCGTTGCGCCGCCGCGTGGTCCCCCCAACTATGGTAGCACTCTAAATCCTTGACTGTGAGCAGCTGTCCAGGACAATAAGTCTTTAAAGCTCGCGGTGGGTATAATTGTACAGGCACGATAGATAGAATGTTAGGGACCGAGTTATTGAAAAACTCGACTTCTTGGCGCTTGTTCATGAAATCGTTGTAAAGGCCTTGAATTGCATACCCTCGCCGTTTCAATGACACAAAGGGTTACGGGGCAGCGGTCAACCAACGAGTGCGAGTCCAGACAGAAAAGCGCATTGCTGGGACTAAGCCTTTCAAAAGAAGGAAAGAAAGCAGAGATGCTGTAATAGTGTGCGTATGCGAGAGTCCCAGAGTACACTACAAAACGCTGAATCACCAAGCCATCCGGTTGACCACTGCCTTCAAATGACCAGAAATTGTGCAATTGCAGAAATTGACGTGGCATTAACGTGGCGATCAAGGGTGACATCACGTGTGCTCAAAGATGTTCTTGAATCGATGCCACGTTAATGCCACGTCAATTTCTGCAATTGCACAATTTCTGGTCATTTGAAGGCGAGGGTACAATCCATTATAATTTCTGAATGGAGGTCCAGTGCATGGCACATCTCGAAGAAAGATTGAGTCTATTACCTCGCTTTATGGTTCCTGGGGCAGTACTGGCGGGAAGGAACTGGATTTGGAATGTTTGGCACCGAGCGAAGTGTACTGTAAAATGTCACAGGAAGGATCGAACCACAGGCTGCTGCTATCTATTCCTCTGCTAGTTTTTCATCGATAATCAAGGATAATTCAAAGTGGTGTCAAGGCAACTGAAAAATCTAGCAAATGGGAGTTTTGGTCGGATGGACTGCGCAGGTATGTCAAGGGTACACACGCTGCTGTAAAAAGCATTTGAAGGCATATGACTCATAGAATAATGGAGCTCAAAAAGGTTCTGTGGGTGCCAAGTGGCCTCACTGAAGAAGAAGGTTGTAGACTCAAAGCGCGACTAACCAGGAAGGTCTTTCAGGGCGTGACAAGCTTTTTGAAAACGGTCTTTTGCATGATATAGGGGCAGATGCGGGAACCACAGAACCATGTTCAATTTTTCCTGAACGGCCCTCTGAATACCAGAAAAGGGGTCCCTAGTTCGATTCCTCGTGGTAACAAATTTTTAGAACCAACCAGAACAATCAGAACTCCATTTTGCGCGAATTTTGGAACGTCAACTCGAAATGCAAAAATTTGTCACCAAGAGGAATCGAACTAGGGACCCCTTTTCTGGTATTCAGAGGGCCGTTCAGGAAAAATTAAACATGGTTCTGTGGTTCCCGCATCTGCCCCTATATCATGCAAAAGACCGTTTTCAAAAAGCTTCGTCACGCCCTGAAAGACCTTCCTGGTAAGAAAATCCTATCCAGACCAATGCTAGTTTATAGGAAACAATAAATGTATAACAGCGCATGAAGCAATAAGGGTGAAAGAATCCCATGCTGACGGATCCCTTTTTATGCAGCGCTACACTTTCTAATTTTTTACAGGATCGTGGGGCATTTGAAAGCGGTTTAGCCTGCTATGACTTTCCGGGGCCGACTATGATGAATCATTCTTGGTGTGGTGCTTCCGGACGAATCTGTTATTTGCCGATCCTGAAAAACGGTTTCGTTGGGAAATTCCCAACGACATGTATCGTATTTTTGCAAGTTCATCTTTAAGCTTTTGTCGGGTCCTTACCACTGTCGGGAAAGGAAAGGATCGCATTTGTGGCTCGCTTTCTAGCTAGGGGTGTCTACAATGGAAGGACATCCATCAAACTTGCAGCTGTCAGGAGCGAGAAGGTTCAACGTTTTAGTATATGCATTCGTTAATTGCAATTCAGAGGGGAGTCGGAGTGTGCCAAGTAGTCAGGAAACGATATCGAATGGCTAGGAAGAGGCGTGTGGTGTTTTTATTTCAAGATTTTTCCAACTCACCAGCCTTTTTTCTTTACATTTATTCCATTTGCATTTTTTTCTTGAATTAACAGCTGATCCTTGATAGGATGGCAGGATAAGGGTGATAAAATGATTGCCTTGGGTTTGATAAGCAATAAGTGCCAATTTTCAATGTAGCAACTTCTTTCAGACTTTTGTATGCCACATACATGACCATATAGTCCCAACCAATTTTACATCCATTATTCATTCCCATCTTATTCCGGGAGGGAAACGCAATCTCTCAGATTTGCACTGTTTGGATGAGTTTTTCTCCTCTCGAATACTGTCTGGACAAGTTTCTTCTATCTCTGGCCAACTAATCGAAGCACTAAAAGCAGTGTACTCTGAAACGAACATTTCTCATTCTTTTAATGATTTTTCCCATTCATTTCTTACACGAGCGACTGTGAGATCAACTTTATTAGGTAATTTGTTGTTGATCCGATAAATAACATGAGGTTCAATAACGTCGAAGCTTATGTCGAAGAACTTTGTGGCGAAGAAGTTTTTGGCGATGGAGCTTGAAGTGTTTTCGGCGGAATGGCTGAGGAGCAGCCTCTCCGGGATTCATTTGACAGATCGAGTGATACAGTACTGTGCACGGATAGAAGTAGACGTAATTGGCCGAGGAAGGCTGCGTGTTGTAGTACGCAGCGCACGTCGAGAACGTCGACCAACCATTCGAAAGCGACGAGTAAGGTTTAATTAACCAGTTCCTAAAAAAGTGCCCAAAATTATTCGTCTAACCTGGCATGTTCATTTCTGAATGGGTGCTACCGTATACTTACACTAAGGAAGCGTTCAGCGCTCCGCCTTGGAATTGTGGCTCATCCATTTGTGTCGGTTGGGTGATACCAGTCCATGTCCAGAAATATGGCGGAGTCTTGGACATCACTTCGTTCTGTAAGAGAATTCAGATAGGCCTTCAGATAATCCTTTGGGCCAAGGGATCACCCAATAAGGCTACTATCCGATCACCTACCCATTGTGCCATGGATGTGGGAGCGAACATGGTAGCGCCCTTCTGATTACACCTCATCTCGGCTTGTTCATAGCTGAGTTTTTCCGTCTCAAAGTAGATGCACGAGTCTCCGAAAGGCTTGAATTCGATCGGGGCATGCCTGGAAGACGAGAGGAATTCAGCTGAATTTCTGAAGGGAAAAACTGTCGGGAAAAACGCGCAAACCTCGCTCAGGCGGCTGCCAATAGGGATAACGATGGCGTTCTTGAATATCGCTATTAGCAACCGGTTCCTTGTGGCAGGCATCGGCTTCCTCCATTGGTCTCTTGAGAGCTCCTAGGTGCTGTTCCCTGGTCCTGTTCTGTTGCGATTATTGTTCAGCGTTCGGTTCTGTGTCCCGGTGCTCCTATAATTTGCCCAACACACAATCGCTGAAAATTATACTAAACTTCTGTCAACAACGATTTCCCCAAATGTTTCCCAACAACCAATTTCGGCTGGAAACATTGATCGTAAATGTAAAAAATGGCACAAAAAGGTAGCTACTAATCATTTCTTTGGTTAGACTGCTTTTCTCTAGTTTGCTTAGATTACTGTATCTACCGACCTGTGCGGGGAGCTTGCGTTGTGGTGGTGGTGGTCGTCGTCGTCGTAGGGTCTTCCTGCGGCTCCTCCTCCTCGCAGCAGCAGCAACAACACGAATCCGCGTCTGAATTTTTGAAGTACTTTCGATTCAAAATTATTTACCAATCATTATGTTTATTAATTCAAAATAGTAATTTAAATAAAAATGTGAAATACAAGAAAATAAAACTTTGCCACGTGTCACCTCAAACTTCTTAAGTTATTTCATGCAGCATTCACACATAAGACCCTGCTTGCAGTTTTAGTTGAACTTTTATTGTCATTTCCAAATTCGTCCATATGTTTTTTTTTGTCCATAAATCGGATATCCTTAAGTGAACCGTAAAAAGCTTTCGTTAAACCCAAACCGAATAGTCATACCGCTCGAAAAATAAATAAAACATTTTCTACGAATGCTATTTTGATTGATTTCCTAGTATTTAATTATTCAACCAAAAAGTATAATATTCTGTCCAGGTCGAAAATCAAAGCCTAAAGGTTGCTCTGAACTGAGAGTGAAAAATTGAAAAATGAACTAATGTTACTTGTGGTCAAGAAAATATCACCTGCTTTAAATTATCTGAAAAATTTATGACTGACTCCCTTCTGTTTGTTTTCTCTTCTATTAATATTCCAAGAAGGAGCCAAATAATTTTGTGCTACTAAAGTAAGCAGTACATGCTTTGGTAAAGAGTCAGTCAGAGCCAAATTTGGGCTATAGAAAATTTGAGACTAAACACAAAGTTTTTCAGCTATAGGATTTAGGTGCTATTTGAATTATGAGTTTTCTGTGAGTTCCGAATATAACTAATACTTACAATCTTGGGCAGGTTCTTCAGTGGTGGGTTCCTCAGTAGGTTCTTCAGAAGAAGCCTCTTCGGTAGTAGGTTCTTCAGTGGTGGTTGTAGTTGTGGTTGTGGTTGTAGTCGTAGTTGTAGTGTTTGGAGAATCCCGTTGTGACTCCCTACAACTGCAACTGCGACGTCCCCGACCACTGCCCTGCCCAGATGGGTGGTTGAGCACGGAAACGAAGAGAACAGAAATCAGCAAAGCCCTGGAAAAACGAGTCTCAGTTAGCTTACTCAAATTCTAGTCATAATATGGTAGAACCGAAGTAGAATATGGTAGAAACTTACTTGAAGAGCATTGCCAGCAACTGAGCACTGTATAAGGGTTCTAGCGACTTATATAGCGCTGAGGTCAGGTCCAAAGAACCTCTGGACCAAACCAAGCCAGCAATAGAGATGCTTGGGATAGATAGATACCTTTCAGTGGTAATAGACGATAATTTATGGCGCTCAAACAACAAGATAAAAACTTAGCCGCTGACATGGACGCAGTTCCCACGGCACTCTAGGTGTGGTTTGGGGTGCCTAGGTAGGTAGAAATTGAGGTAATTATTACCCTACGAAGGGGACATCAAAAGGTACTCGCCGCAGCAAGAACAATCAACCAATTAAGGCTTTTTTCTATAGTATGATTGTGATTATTATGTAGTTATGTGATTTCAAAGGGATTTTTCAAATCGATGTCCGAATCTAATTATGTTGGCATGGCATCAGCTGTTTTTAGTTAGGTTTCTAGAGCCTTAACCAAGAAGTTGGTAGTTTTATTCTGAACGTAATGCGACTTTAGCCCCAAGCACCCGAGCGCCATTCCAAACTGAATGAAAAGTTGAGCTATTGGTTGGCCTCGGTTTATGACCAGTCTCAGAGTTAGAAGAAATAGCGGCAGTCCGCTTGAGAAAGAGAAGAGAGGAGCACTTCTCATTCTTTGGAGATATTGTGTCTCCTACTCAACTGGAGTTGAAAGAAAGCCTAAATCAGACAAGTGGCCATAAGTTGAGCTCTGGTTGCCACTCCGAATTTGGTGCACGAATTCGTCTAGTTTGCCGCTGTGAAAATTCTGCCTAAAAATCTCTTGTTTTTTGACTTCTAAGTAACCCACTAAGTTCAAGTCAGAAGACTTCTATCCATAATTGTTCAGATTTGAATGATGAAAAACCAAGTATAAACATGACCCTATTGCATGGATAGACATTGATCGACTAGGCGGCATGTCATTTCCAAGGAACAGTATTATCATTTTTGCTATCCTTATCACTTAGGAGTATGCAATATCGTTGCTTGAGGGTGGTTCATTTATTGATATACTCGTTCTTGGAGGCTGCAATTCCGCTGACTTAAGCAAACCAGCCCTTTTGGCACATCGGCTGGGACCATATGC